TGGAACCAACCTAGATGCCCTTCAATAGATGAATGAATTTTAAAAATGTGGCATTTATACACAATGGAATATTACTCAGCACTAAAAAACAACAAGATCATGGCATTTGCAGGCAAATGGATGGCATTAGAGCAGATTATGCTAAGTGAAGTTAGCCAATCCCTAAAAAACAAATGCTGAATGTCTTCTCTGATATAAGGGGGGGTGACTCAAAATGGGATAGGGAGGAAGAGCATGAGCAGAAGACTACCATTAAATAGGGAAGAGAGGTGGGAGGAAAAAGAGGGAGAAGGGGAGTTGCTTGGTGGAAGGAGATGGAAGGAGAACCTCATTGTTATACAGAATACATATATGATGTTGGGATGAGAAAAAGAAAAAAAAGTGTGTCACATTAGATTGGATTAGAGAGAAAGCATGAGAGAGGAGGGGAGGAGTAGGGGGGATAGGACGGGCAGCAGAATAGAATAGACATTATGATTGATGTATATACATTCCATGTATGTATTATATGTCAAAATACATTCTGCTGTCATGTATGACTAAAAAAAATAAAAATAAATCGTATGGTTAAAAAAAAACACAGTAGATGTTAAACTCTGAGAGAAAGGAGGAAAGATTTGTTGTGTAGGGGCATAAGGGGGGTTCAGAGATATTAATAATGTTCCATCATTTTTTAAAAATATTTCTTTTTTAGTTGTAGTTGGACACAATAACTTTTATTTATTTTTATATGGTGCTGAGGATTGAACTCAGAGCCTAGCTCACATGTGCTAGACAAGCGCTCTACCGCTGATCTACAGCCCCAGCCCATAATGTCCCATCATTATTAAAAGTCCTATATGTTACACATATCCTTTAATGTCTAAGTGCCATATTTCATAATTCTAATACAGTATTTAGAATCAGTAAAGCTCTAAAAGCATAGCAATCTGGCTCCAGTAGGCCTTATGTGCCAAGAATACTCTATTTCAGTAATATTTTCAGTGATTACCATATTATAGAAAAGTATAAAAATTGATGTTCATTGAGAAAATGCTAAGGCATGCTAAATATAATTTTCAGAAAAGGGAACTGTGCATTATAGATTCATAGTATAGTTTAAATTTTTATTGGAAATGATGAAAATATATTTAACATATTAATCTCAAAAAAGGGGGTAATCTTGAGCTATTTGGAAATTTCTATATTTCTAGAGCTATGAGTTGTTTCACAATGTCCTAGAAATTATGATTTGTTGCATATATTTATATATAGTCAGGCTTCCATGTCCATGAATTCAACCAAGTATATATTGAAAATATTAGGGGAAAAATATACCTGTAATGCATATTTACAGATTTTTTTTTCTATCACTATTCCCTAAACAATACAGTATAATAACTATTTACATGCCATTTACATTATATTAGGTATTTTAAGTAATCCAGAGATGATTTAAAGTATATTATGGAGGACATGGGGACAGTGCCTTTAGTACCAGCTACTCGGGTGGCTGAGGCAGGAGAATCATTTGAGCTCAAGAATTTGGAGTTAACCTATACAACATAGCCCGGACCCTGACTCCAAAATAGATAGATAGATAGATAGATAGATAGATAGATGGATGGATGATATGAAAACTCTCTATTTTATATAAGGAATTTTTGAATTTGAACATCCCGGATTTTGGTATCCATCGGGAGTATTGGAATCAATCCCCCCTGGGTAACACGTATAACCATGTGTATGATACTTCATTCAACACCTCAAGCATTAGTGAATGAGATATTATGCCTTCATGTGTTCCTTATTAGAGATACAGATTAGTAGACTCATATTGTGGTTAGCAATTTGCTATTGAAAGGGTGGATATGCAGTCAGAGGGTTTTGCTTCTGGATCCCTGTACTATTAGGGAGTTCACTTAACCTCTCTGAAGTTCCATTTCTTCAGCATGATCTTTACACTGTTTATACTTTTAATGACATGTGTTTGAAAGTGCATTTATAATGCCCTTTTTCACTATTAGGCATAATAATTAGATGGGAACTAATTTAGATAGTCCAGTCTTGCTAAAGAGAATCTTTATTAATTCTGTAGCTCTTTGGGTGCTCAATACAAATTAGATATTTTAGTTCTTTCAATCTTTAGATGTAACTTTCTTATTTTTTTGTAATATTTTAAAAATACATTTGTGTTTTATTTTGATTTTTTTGAAGTGCTGGGGATCAAACACAGGGCCTTGTGCATACTAAAGTAAGCACTCTACCACTGAGCTATGTCCCCAGCCCATAAACATTATTTTATAAAAACTATACATTTTTTTACTCATTTTCAGATGTAAATGTTTCCAAGTCCTTTAGTAAATTGCATTATTGTGATAACCTTTGTTTTACACATTGGTACCATATTTTTTTGTTTTTGAGCTATAGGGGCATGTGCTTTTTACTGATGTAATTGTAAGCAACTTTATGTCACAAACTAAATATATTTATGATGGTGTGGCATTAAATCAAAACTAAGGAAAGAATAAACTGCTGTTAAGAAAAGTTCTGCCTCTGTATTCCCACTAATGCGATTAATTCTATATTGAGCTAGATGGTTTGTTAAAGAGACTGAACTTTCTGACAAGGTAAGCTGGAGCCTAGCAGAATTCTACCTGGCCTCCTATTTATGTGTAGGATGACCATCTTGAAAAAAACAATACATGGTAGTTAAAAATATTGTTCTGCAAATCTTGAAATATACATATTTGTTTTGGAAGCTGCAAAAAAGGAATCTTTAAAGTTTGTTCTGCATATTTTATTAGAAAGTTCTTAAAATTAGACATATTGGTTGGCTTTGCTGGAATAAAACACACATAGTACCTGTTCTTAAGGTCTAGGCTCTGAAACAAGCATTAAAGCAGACAGATCATGGACATGCTCTTCATAAAACATTTTACTTAATTACCAACAAACGGGGAAATCAAGTTGAAAATTGGTATTCATTGTACTCTTTTCCATCTTTTGTGTAGAGGTGAATTTCTTTTTTTTTCAAAATATAGGGTTGGGGAAAATTAACAGCTTTTTTTTTTTAGTAGAATTTTGTTTTGTTTGCTTTTTAGCTCTCTGACCTTTATGGGGGCAGGTAGAAAAATGAGAAAGATAACCAGAAGTTCCCTGTGGTTTTGAATCTTATTTTGTAATTAGTACTTACTTATCACATTGGACAAGTAGGTCTGTAGTTAAATAATTAAAGTAATATCTTTATCAATAAATGGCAAGTTATAAAAACTGTCTTACATTCACATAGAGGTTTGTTTTGTTTTTAGTTTACATAAAGCTTTTTTATGTGAAAGGCAAGTAAGTAGAAATGGTTTATCCTTATTTTACAAAAATTAAGCGACTTCTTTTAGCTAATAGTTGGTAAGTAGTACCAAATTATTATTTTACGGGTCTGTAAATTGCAAGTACATCACTTATGAAATATATACAAATATAAAGAATTGAGCTAGGGTTGTGGCTCAGTGGTAGAGTGCTTGCCTAGCATGTGTGAGGCACTGGGTTTGATTCTTAGCACTGCATATGAATAAATAAAATAAAGGTCCACTAAAAAAAATTACCAAAAAAAAAAAAGAGAATATAAGGAATATAAAATTTAGTACTAGAAGAACACTATTTTAAAATTGTACTATTGAAAGTTGCTTTTCAACTTAGGCAGACTAATTAGATAAAAATACTTTTAAAAATACAATTTATCATATTTTAGATTTCTAATTAAGCTAAATTTTAAAAAGCATTTAAGAAGAAGCAAAAACTAAAACTATAAAAGTTTCTAAAAGATATGAAAGAATATCTTTATGACTTGTAGAGAATAATTTCTTTAGGCACAGAAAACAATAATCATAAAAGGAAGAAATGATGTTAGATTCTTTCTTTCTTTCTCTCTTTCTCTGTTTCT